TGTCCACGCGGACGCATCGCTCACTCAAGTAGGAGAGAGACAGATGTCGAACGCTGCCGAACGCGGAGGCCGATTGTGCCTCTTTGTCGCTCGTTCCGCGCTCTCGCTTGCACTTCAAGCCTTAAATGAAACGCCTCAGAGCGAGGTAACGCCGCATGAGTCATGTTTTTTCGTGCGTGCAGCCGGCTTCATCGAATTATAAGACGTTGTCACGTCAAAAAATTCGTAATTATATGTTTATATCTGAGTGAGACTTACCGACGAGACGTGATCGCATTACTTCATCGCCCAGTACGAACGCTCCAACGAAGGTGCTCTGCGCCTTGGGAAAGCTATAACAAAATGAAATTTTCAATCATTAAAAAGTTACTTTTTGAAAGGAATTTTACTGTAAGAGATAACGAAAGATATTCTGAAATTAAGTTACAGTGAAATTGATATACATTACAATGAAGAAACGTTTTAATTTTATAAATTCAAATATACATTCTTATGGAATAGTGAGAATTTTCATGTGAATGAGAATGTATGAAAAGGTGAGTGTGACGATTCAGGAGAGAGTGAGAATGAATGAAGAGGTGAGGTTGAGAAATTGTGTAAGAATGAGTGTGAGGATATATATAAGAGTGAGAATATATCAAAGGGTAAGGTGAGAATTTCAATGCGAGTAAGAATGTATGAAAGGGTCAGTGTGAGGATTTATGCCAGAGTGAGAACGCATGAAGGTATGAGGGTAACAAATTGTGTGAGGATGAAATTGAATAACATTAAAATGAAGAAACGTTTTAATCCTCTACATTCAAATATATCGTGTGGAGATAGATAAATTAGGTTATCCTATAATGAGAGAAGAGTTCGATGTAGCATTCAAAAACCTAAAGAATAATAAGGCCCTAATTATACACTGATATAGAGGCGGAAATTTGCAGGACAAGAGATTTGTGATCATATATTTAAACTAGTTAGTCACATTTACGAGATGGAAAAAGTCCCGGAGGGTTATAAACGGAACGTAATAGTAACCCTACCTAAAAAGAGAGACGCAGATAGGTGCGAGACATTTACACCAATTATCTTAACTTCCGAAGCGTCAAAAATCTTAACTAGAATTGTACAGAGGATGATGGACAAGATGTTAAATATACTTAAAGATGTAGGGATGAGTTACAGAGATAGAAGAGTGATACTTAGTTTGTATAAAAAACAACAGGCAGTTATAGAGCTGGAGCAGCAACGTAGTGAAGTAAATATTAGGAAGGGAGTCAGACAAGCATGCACACTGTCACCGCTACTTTTTAATCCATACATCGAAGACGAGATTAACATCATTAAAGACAGTTCAACTGTAGGGATAGATACAGAAGGGCAAAAGACTGGTTTACTTAGATTTGCAGATGATGTTTCAGTATTAGCATCTAGCACGGAGGAGTTAGAGATAAGTTTAATTAAAATGGAAGAGGCATTGGTAAAATAGTGTTGTATGAAAATAAATAAAAGTAAAACAAAAATATCAGTATGCACGGGAACAAAAAGTAGGGAAAGAGCGAATATAAAGATAGGAGACGAAAGGCTGATTTTAGATATCTAGGAAGTGAGCTAAGTCAGGACGGAAGGAGTAGTAGGGATATAAAGCAGAGGATAGTGCAGGGTCGAGTCGTCTTCAATAAAAAGAGCTCACTTCTATGCTCGCGAATGATTAATTTAGAAATTTAGAAAGATTGTTAAAGGGGTAAAGGTGGAAAAGAAAAGGTTAGAAGCGTTCGAAATGTGATGCTACCGGCAAATTCTGAGAATACCGTGGATAGAGAAGGTTAAAAAAGAAGAGATACTAGAAAGTAGTGTCCGACCGAAAGTTCGGTTTCGGTTTCGGTCGAGTTTCGGCAAAAAAACGAGTTTCGGTTTCAGCGACAAACCTGCCGAAACTACGACCGAAACCGAAACTGCATTCGGGAGTTCTCGCGCTCTGCTCGGTCATGTTCGGCGCGTTAAATTCCATCCAAGCGAAGTATACTATACTTACTCAAATAATCATCTCACCTATTTTAAGTTTTTTTAAGGCCCTTATTATTTCCTTAAATGAGGGGTTGTTGTGTTGATTTTGATTTGATTATCAATAAGTGAAACTGTCAAAGACTCCAGACCTATGTGATTTAAAGATAAAAAAATAAAACTGACTGATTATAATAACGTTTTCTTTATTTTTATCTCAAAGCATGATCTTTATAAGGAACTTTCGGTTTCGGTTTCGGTTTCGGCCGAAATTGAGACCGTTGTCGAAATTCGCTTTCGGTCGTAAAAACCAGTTTCAGTCGGACACTACTAGAAAGAATAGGAGAACAGAGGATTCTATGGAAGTCAATAAAAAATAGGCGAAATAGGTTGGTAGGATACCTTCTCAGTCATGCAATATTTAGAAATTTAAAATGCAAATATTAAAAATGTTTTAATAATTTAACATCAGCAATAAAAGGTCAAAATTGTAATGTGATATTGGACAGTTAAAAAAACATTAAGTACAAAAATTTGATGGGTACCTACTTCATCCTTTACTTTTTAGAATCAAATGTAAGTTTCAAAATAGAAAAATACGTACAATGTAAATAATTGAATTAATTTGTTACGATATAAGACAAATCACAAAATGTATTATAATAATAAAGTAACACTTACCGACATGATTGCATTTGCTTCACCACATCTCTCTCAGTATGAACGCTCCAAAGAAGATCCTCTACTCCTTGGAGAAGCCATACGGATGTTGCTACAACAAAATTAATTTTCAAACTTTCTAACCCTATCAGTTACTTTTTGAAAACATTATCAATAGTGTAACATCAAGGCCAAAATTGTAATGTGCATATTGGAATGCTACAAAACACTGAAATTATATAGAAAACGCTTCAACGGAGATGCTGCCACATTAGAATTAAACTTTCAAACCTTTTGAAAGGTTAGTTAAGATGTTAATTTAATTTCAGTTTAGGATACAATTATTTATGAATATTTATAACATTTTTTTGTTTTCATACTGATTTTATTTCAAATTTGTTTTTAATAAAAAACCTGGGTAAAGGGGGCTTATTTTGGGGTAGAAAATGGAAGTATGTATAAAAGAGGAAAGGGTGAGTGAGGGTGAAAAGAGTCAGAATTAAAGGGAAAAAAATGAGAACATTTGAGAATATGGAAATATATGTGATCGTACACGGAGAAAATGAAAAAAGAAAATTTACCTAAATATCAAAGCTATATTTACAATTTATCCCACTAGTCCATTGTTTCGTAAGAGAAAATAATTAAAATTACAATTTGGACCCGAATTTGTAAAAATAAAATCCCAGCAGAAATAAATTGACTAGGTATTTTAGTTGATA